TTTAATTAACCAAAAAATTACATCTTTATTAATAAAAATTTAATTCTTAACCAAAAAAATTATATATAAACTAAGCAAACGTGCATTGCACGTTGCTTAAACCTAGTACACTTAAAATTTGTCAAATATGAGTGATTAGAAGTGCAAGACTCATCAACTTAGGAGCTATAATGCATAATTTCCTCATACTACTTGAGTTGTAGGGGTGATAAACAGCCCATTCGCGAGATCGTCTTGTCTTGATTTGAGCTCATTTTGAGACGAGTTATGAGCCGAATCAAACACCCTTTTTAAGAGTCGGCTCGAGGATGGATTAACTCATCCCATGAGGCCTGCAAGCCGAGACGAGCTCCAATGTCCTGGCTCGACCCATTCTCACCACTATTGAGTGGGGTTATCACATTCTTCCAACTCACACAACACTCGATGGAACACTGGTGAATCTTTCATGCACTACTCGAAATGGCTAGCAAATGTCATGGTCCCGAGGAGAACAAATAGGCTACAACCAAGAAATCCGATCAACTGCGAAACCCGGTAAACCGGCCAATTTTCACATCGGTTATCATTTATCAATCCTTATGGTCTCCATGAAAATCCCTTAATGCAAGGATATAAATGTTAAACTCACTAGCTTGAGTAAGAAACCAATTGTAAGTTATGCAACTGCTCCTATATGCAATTCATCAAATGTCTGCCAATTTTCTATGCACAAATATAACCATACATTCACAACAGGCTCTCAGGAGACTTGAAAGATGTTATTTTCTTGTAAGCAAAAAAGGGTTAAAAAGAAAAAAGTTTTAAGTAATTTCATCTCTTTGAATGAGCCATGAGGGGTCACCTTGGACCCGACAACTCGACTGCGTGTAGATTTTCTGTTGAATCAACTATCCAATCTGAACTTGGATGCGGAGCAAGTTCAACTTCCTGGCGAAGAACTTCAACTTTCTGCCACTCGTCCCAGCGTTCAGCCAAGCCATCGCCTTCTAACATTCTCACCACATCCGACATCTTGGGCCGGTCCATAGGAGAGCTCTGAGTGCAAAGCAGAGCAACCTGGATTAGCTGTTCCACCTCTGACTCCTCATAATTGTTCTGCAAATCAGGATCAACCAGCATTTCCAATTTCTTTTCTTTGAGAAGTCCTTTGACCTGAAAGGTAAGACGTAAAACTCAAATGCCTCAAGTTCCCAAATTTTGTAGGATTACAAAAAAACAAAAAGAAAAAAAAAAGTAGGGTATTTCACAATTTAGTTTTGCCGGAAAATTTGCATAAAGGAAGATGCCTCTCAAATTAACCAGAACAAATAAGTGGGTGAAGATACAAGGACGGACTTAATTGGAAGCTTAAATAGCTCCTTAAAAAATCGAACTAGGAATTTGAAAACCAAGTGCAATTTAAGTTGGCGTACCCAATCAAGCAACATGACATCATCATCGTTTGCAAGGCGAGCTAGATCAAACGCCCGCTGCCCAGTTATTAGCTCAAGAAGCATAATTCCATATCCAAAAACGTCAGTTTTCTCTGAAGATTTTCCTGTGGACAGATACTCTGGAGCTATATGTCCAATCGTGCCACGTACAGCAGTAGTAACGTGGGTATCCTTATAATCCATAAGTTTAGCCAAACCAAAATCCCCAACTACGGCCTCAAACTCTTCATCTAGCAATATATTTGCCGCTTTCACGTCACGGTGAATGATCTTTGGGTCGCAATGATCATGCAAATAAGATAGTCCTCTTGCAGATCCCAAAGCAATGCGTTTCCGTGTGGGCCAATCAAGAGGTGGCTCATTTGGTTGGCGTTCTGCAAATATATTCAATTAATTAAATTGGTGCATGATTGGAATGAAAGCATATCGACCCTTCCCAGGCTGGACATTTTAACCATAAATTAAGATGAGAACCAGAAAATAATGGAAATTGGGACAATTTAAAAACAAGAAGATCATGGTGCAATGGAGGGGAAAGGACATGGGTGAGTAAAATAGTATCATTCTTAACAATCATCACCTCTTAAACATGATGCAACACTTCCATTAGCCATATATGGATAAACTAGCAGGCGTTCAGTTGGAGTCATACAAAATCCACGCAGTCTAAGGAGATTTCGATGCACTGCCATACTGATCATCTCAACTTCGGTTTGAAATTGGAGCTCCCCACCAGGAGTCCGCTCCTCCTTGAGCCTTTTTACAGCAACAAGTGAACCATCAGCTAGCCGTCCTTTGTATACTTTTCCAAAGCCACCTCTTCCCAGAATGTTTTTATTGCTGAAAGTATCTGTCGCAACTTGTAACTCTCGAAGAGAGAATCGTTTTAGCTGCCCCAGATGGACATCAGGGTCCTCTTCAGCTGCAAAGATATGCAGACAAGTTATGTACGGTATCAGAGAATCTTGTTAAATGCAAATGAATGCATACAGTCAAACTACCAACCAGGTACATCAAAGAAATATTCCTTTGGTTTCCTCCGCCGCCACCATGCAAACGCAATGGCCGGGGCAGCAAAGAGCAGAGCAGCACCAGCAGCAACCCCACCAGCAATGGCTCCAGTGGCACTATTTTGTCCTACAGTTTCATTCCTTCTCATCAGCAATCACGCAGTGAAAAACTTGTATAATAGATTTCGCTAGGGAATACCACCTGAGCCCGTTAAAGAGCTAATGGCAAGTAATTCACAACAAACTAGTTTTACATGTTCAAAATTAAATAAGGACAGTAGAAATCAGCCAATTCAAAACTAAAAGTAAGCTTAAAAGACCATTTACAGCACCAGAACTCGTTTAGATCTTCTAATTTTTGGGTGAAATTCCTTTTACTAACAGCAGATATACTGAGATGAAAATTCGGACTAACAGCAGATATACTGAGACGAAAATGCGGCTATTTTTAATACATTTCCTTATCATAGACAGGAATTGAACTGTATATCTTTATCATGTACATCTTAGTTGAACAACACAGTCTTTGATTAATAGAATCAAGGAGCAAAATCAGCGTCCCATGAAGAGTAAAAAATAAAATAACACACTTCTCACTCTTAGCAAGCACCAAACAAGACCATTTTTAAAACAGTTATTCTGATGGCAAACTGTGAATATACAGAGAATTTCTTACTTCAAAAAACAAAACAGAGACAGATGAACTCTATCCTTAAACGTACTCCGATAAAAAATTGAAGATGGCACTCATCTGGTAAGCACGTAAAGTAGAGCTGCTATTTGCACAAATGCCACAGCCTAGCAACTTAAACCAACAATTAATATAATTACCTGGCAGAGAAACTGGGGGTGGTGGAACAAATGGAGGCGGTGGAGAGAATGGAGGAGATCCAGGGCAAGGCCGTCCCGTAACTGGACCGCATAGATCCAAGTTATTAGCAAAACTGTAAATTGGCAAATTCTCTACGTCAGCACCAATTCAAAACCACGATACTGTCTATTCAAATTAATGCCAGGCGTATATCAGCAAGAAACCTGATAGGCGTGAATAGAGAAAAGGAACCATTATCTGGAACTGCCCCTGAAAGACGGTTGTTGGATAGATCCCTGCATATAAATTTGACATGAAACGGTCACATCATCCAGAAAGAATCGCTTGCCTACATCTAAGACAGCGTAGCAGGGGGAAAAAGACGAACAGAGTGGCAATTACAAAACAGAATAAGTAAATTAGACCAACTTGGGCACTTACAGCACTTGTAATGATGAGACATTTGTCAATGACAAGGGGATTGGGCCCGTCAAGCTGTTGTTATTTAGACGGCTATCCTTGCACAGAAATCACCAAGAGTGCAGGTTAACATTCATGATGTCACATGAAATATTACAGTAATTAAAAATTGCAAGTAAGCCACATGGAAAAACCATAAGAGAATGTCAACATGTTGCCATCTGACACATCAGTATTCCATTATAAAATCCTCATATAAGATGGCGTTAAGAAAAAAGCAAACTCAAATCCTTTTCAGAACACCAACACCCAGAAAATCTCACTCTAACATTAATCCAATCATAGTCTTCATAGATATGTAAGTTCTGTCCATCTCTGGATCTTTTCCTCGTTTGCTGTCCTTTTTTTCCTAGGCCGGGGGTTGAATGCGAGGAAGAAGTTTCATGTTCCATTTTACTTGCCAAGACTACTGTCACAATAGCTCAAAATTACATCAACAGCATCACCAACACCACTATGGTCAAAATTTCAGCACCCAAAGCAAATTCGTTATGTCGACAAAGTTTCTCAAAAAATGATCAGGCGAGCATGCCCCTACATAGTTAATGAGCTCAAATGGTGAACGGACAGATTTGAACAAAAGAACCAGAGATAAGCCCTCAGCTTTTCCCCTTTTTTCCTCAGTTTAGCATTAAACCTCAAATCTTAGCAACCTCCAACATGTGGTAGACACACTGCTAACTGTCAAATAATGAGAATCGGTGATCCCTCTGTTGTCAATTTCCTTTTTGTTCACAAGTGCCTTTCTGATGACGAAACAAGAACTAATTTCCTCTCTTCTAGTCACTATATATCATATTCCCTTGCTCATAAGCAATTGAAATTACACTATTTTAATAAAGATGTTGTTTCTTTTAGTTAACGCCTGCATTTAAAACCACTTCTATATAGTAAACCCAATTACTTTCAGCACCAGGATGATATTCGCAGGTCGCAGCCATTCCACCATTTAAATCAACAAAACCACCTCGCACAAAAACCTGTTCTCGTTTCCTAGAAAAAATAACAAAGAAAAGAAGCAATCCTAGCAACACTCAAGGGAAGGCTTACAACATTCTTTTCCATGTATGCTTTATTGCCACAATTAAGGTGACAAGCATATAACTTTGTCTGTTGCCACATGCATGGTATACTAGGATTTGCATATGGGGGTAGGGACAAGGGATACAAATCGGGCAAAAAAACATCGACACGAGTCAAAGACCATAACAAGCAATTCAGATTCACAATATTATTCCACATCCAGGATGAGTATGCATACAGGAAGCGCAATTTAGAAAGCTTGCCCAATGTATCTGGAATGGGACCATTGAAACTGTTCAAGTACAGATCCAAGCTCACTAAATTAGTCAGGTTTCCAAGATCACTGGGGATTGGACCGCTTATATTATTACTGTAGAGCTCCCTGTCAAAAAATCAAACAAACATGATGCATGAAGATCCAATATTAGACAAAATCATTAAGTTCATGCATTCAGAAAAACATGTGAAAAAATATGTAAACTTAATGCTTGCAAATATTTGCATGTATATGTGTGTACAAGGCATGATGATTTCATATTAACACGTATTAAGCTAACTTTCATGTTTATTTAGTTAGAGTTCACACTAAGGTTTTCGTCCATGTCTGAGGTCATCCAAGGCTCTTAATCATGTTTATGGTCGAAGCGTCCTGGCTCTGTGTCTTCTTTGCACAGTGACGCCTCAACAGCACACGTGTTCTTTTGGTCCAACAAGCCTAGTGAACGAGACATAAAGTATCCATCCCATGACACATGTGCACGAGGTGTCCTTTCCATGGCTGACATGGCATCCACGTGGACTATAATTATTTCAGTTCATAATATTAGCACTCCAAATTCGAGTTTCATATTTATGTAAAATGAAGGATTTTGATATTTCTTAGCCTCTAGCCCTTGTTTGATCCTCACTATCTTCAAAATACATTTTTCCCTCTCTTCTTTTTAAACACGCATTCTTCAATAAAATAATATTACACGTAAACCCAAAACCTTTTCTTATTTTTTAACAACACATTCTCCATCAATCTACTATTCCAAAATGCATTCTTGAATAAAAATGGGGTTCAAACATGCTTCTAGTATTGAAATCTTTCAACTTTAGTTTTAACCGTAGCACGACTTCTCTTACTTCTTCGAAGTATCATACTAAGCAAAGGTCGAAGCATAGTACATCGACTTCTATTGATTCCGAGGCTTTTATGTCCGAGGAAATCTGAAGCTTGAATAATTGACTTCTCTCACTACTCTTTTCTTCCGAGGCTTTTATGCCGGAGAGAATTAGAAGTTTGGATAGTTGAATGGCTATCCTATCGGAAATTTCTTTCAATCCCCCAAGATATTCGACCCCATATTCTTTCAATTCGAGACCTTCTGTAAGGGATGGTCGTTCAATCCCATGTCAGTTTGGCTTTTTATTTGGCTTCTTATTTGTTCCAAGACATGTTCTCCTTTCTGCTGAGATGGAAGCATTTTGTCAAAGTTCGCATCGTCCATGTCTGAGGCCATTCCAAGGCCCTCAATCCTGTTTGTGGTCGAAACCTCCCATCATGTTTTGGCCAAGTGTTAGGGTTTAAGTATTCTTTGGTTAGTGACGCATCGAAGGCCGAGGTGTTCTTTTGGTCCAACCAGCCTCTGGGAACAAGGTGTTAATATCTGTCCCAAGACATGTGTGCAGGCGGTGGAACCCTTCCCATAGCTAACGTGACATCCAGATGGACCATAAGCATAATTTAGTACAAAACAAAATATTTCCCAAAAAAATTACTAGCAGAATGATTTTCATGAGATAGGTTTCACATATTCAATTGTCTAATGAAAATGATACTCTAAAACTTTGTGACCTGCTATATGATATCAAAACTTCATATGACAGCATTCTCAAACTTTCTTAGTTTTATAAATAGTAAAATTTGTTTCTTTCTCACGTAATCAACATGAAATAAGACTGCAGTACTAATTGAATGAAATCTGAAGCAAAGTGCCACTAATTTCTCTATCATCATCCTATTCATGCAAAAATCAGGTGCAGATAATTTACAAACGTCATGATGCAGTTTATCCATATAACTAATGTTCTAGTTATTATCATACATTGCAGGTTTGATGCAGCGAGATTCTAGCCACAAACAAATCATATATTTGTCCCAAAAAAACCTTAAACAGAATATAATTGCCAGCAGATTTATCATTCCTAACATAGTCCAATTTTCAATGTAATCTAATTGTCATTTTCTGTTCATAATGCTGACTTGAAGCATTATGATTTTTAATAATAAAAATACAACAGAAAACGCAAATTTACTTAACGTACAGGTACTGTAAATTCTTCAGCTGACCAAGCTGTGGTACCAATTGACCTGATAAAGCAGCATTCCCCAGATCACTGAAAATAAAAATAGACGTTGAATGCCTTAAAGAATGCTACAATTGGCAAACAAACTTGTTACACCAACTTCGGAAAGTAGCAAAGAATGCATGAAAATGGAAAAATTAACTAAGCAGATTCTTACACTCTTATAACGCTGTTATCATTGTTGCATGTAACATGGAACCATGTACAAGGGTTGACAAGAGTAGGGTCCCAACTCTGCAGCACATTGTTTGGATCTTCTAAGTTCGTCCTAAGGCTATGTAAAGCATCACCTGTCCATAGATGCAACTGGAAAACTTAGAAGCCACAGAGTAATAATACTACATCAAGAACAATACCATCAAATTTTAAGGGACGTTGATAATCCCAAATTGCCATATTGAACAACTAAGGAATGGTATGAAGATCAAGGTTTTCATAATTATTTTAGTAAAGTAAAACTATTTCCAAAGAAAATTAACCAGGAAATAAATTTCCCGAGAATGATTCAAGTAAAGAGTCAATTAAATTTAGAAAGGCAGTGCTACAATTTATATAAGAATTCGTATAATAAGATCAATGCCAGCGAATTGATATAAATTTAACAGTTTGTCAATATAGGTCCCAATATGTTACGTGCTCGAGTATTTTGACTTATTTTTTGGCATAACATCCCTAAATTCAAACTATACATTTCAATAAATCCATTCCATGAATGGCACTAATAAATAAATAAATAAACTCAAAGAAAATGTTGAAGCTTTACAATTAAAACTATAATATTGCGAAAATAAATTCAAAACAAATCTAGAACCTAAAGAAAAAAAAAATAAACTGAAAAAAAAAGGCAAATATAAAAATACATATATAAACACACAAACCTTCCATGTTTGCATAGATAAATTTCAGTGGACGCACCACTAAAATCAAACAAAGCACCAATGATACCATGCCCTCTCTTTCCATCAGCTTCATATGTATCTGTGCAAATAAGTATCCAAACTCACAGGTTCATCAAAATGTATCTCAGATCCAAACACACGCGAAGGGTTTACTTAAAAATCCCACAAAACCACAAAATAGTATCTCACTTCCTGCCCAAAAACTCCAACATTGCACTCAAATAATTGATCCAATTACATAACCTCACTCCCTATGATACCAAAAACTGAAAAAGAAAATATTTTCTATTTTTTTAACTTTGAGAGACTTTTGTAATTTGTTGAGAGCAATTTTCTATGACTCTCTGCAACTTTTCACCTCTGTACTGTACTTACTTTCCTCTCTCTCCCTCTCTCTCTCACAAGTCTATTTTCTCTGTGCATCGAGGTGGAGAGAGAGATTGTGCGAGTGTGTGGGATAATTATCGTTTTCTTTTTGAGCGTGTGCAGTGTTTATGAGAAGCTGCCCGAACGGTGGGGTCTGCCCGAGTTACCCGAATTGCCTTCACGCAAAAATAGCTGGATTAACCTATTTGATATTTGACATTTGTACAATTGTTGTTGATAATTATGGTTGACGACATTGATATTGTCAAAATTTAGATTATTAATTTAAAAAATAATTTTTAAAATTGATGAATGTTATATTGTAAGTGTGAACTGTCAATCAAGATTGTAAAAAAAATTAGTACAAATAACATGATTGAAAATGGCTTAACTCATTCCCATTAAAAAAAGGTTTTTTTTTTTTGGAAGAAAATCAATTTTCGAATAGTGATTAAAATGTATGAAAAAATTTTAAATTTACGTGCAACATATTATATTGTGAGAATGTGCGGTTGGAAGTTATTCTTAGAAAAAAAGTATTTTTAAAGAATGGTAGACAAATAGATGCTTCGTAATCTTGTGTGCTAAATAGAAGATGGGGTGTGGATCGGATTGAATCGATTTTGGGTTTCATTCTACATCGAAATCAATCGAGTCAATTTGAGTGAATTGAAACCCAAGCAGACTCAACATTGGCACACAAATCAAGCTAACTCAACGATTCGGTTCGATTTCGCTACTGATTTCCACCATCATGTTAATCAAATCAAGTTCCAAACTCCCAAACTATAAATCATTTCCATAATCCTTTATCAGTTTCGAAAATGAGAAGTCAGTGAGATTCAAAATCGAAAACGAGTAACACAAAACATTAAAAACTAAAAAGTTGAGAATAGGAGAAACAGAGACACTCTAGAAACTTGGAAAATTAGAAACTTACATCGACTTGAAACTTGATTGTTGAGAGAAGGTGAGATAGCATCCAGAGTTATGCATAAGACAGTGTAACGACCTGCCTTATGTGTCCAAGTCGATATATCATATGTATTACTCGCTTTGGAAGAACATATCACCTTACCCCTTGCGGATTTCTCGTGTCCTTTAAATGCTCTCTCAAAGCAAACAATACATATGTTCTAAAAATTTGGGTACAGAAGCCGAGTCATTACAGTGAGAGAAGACAATCATCGACGAGGCAATGACGAGAGAAATGCGAAGCGTGACTACTTGCTAAGGTTCTGTTTTGGTCAGTGGCCAGCAGAGGAAGGGGCACGCCAAAAAGAGAAACAATGAGAGATGGCAAGAGAGAAAAATGAGTTTTGGCTCTTGGGTAGGGTTTGGGAGTTTAGGTTAAGTGCATTATGCTTATGGCGTGCCGAATTTTGTAGGATTGGGGAATTTGGTCTTCTGTATTTTGAAATTTTATTTAAATGTTAAAAAATTAAAAATCAAGTAAGGTTGGTGGGTGAAAACCGAAATCGAAATCAACCTACTAAATTTACATATAGACCCAACCCAACCCAACCCAAAAATCATACAAAATTACCTCGGTCTGTTTTGGTCGATCAAGTTACTCAAAAGTCAAGCCCGTCGTTAATAGTCTCATCCCACAAATACTTTGGCTATGGCTATTTGTTACAATATTTGAGTGTTGCTTTTCATCAATTTCTATAGATGGTAAATGGTAAAAGCGTAGGATGTTAAATGTAAAATAATAGAGAAGTGAAATAGAGAAATCAACACAAGTATTTAATGTGGTTTGACGATGTGCCTATGTCCACAAGCAGCGAAACGGAGATTTTTATTCGGTATGAATAATAGAGTTACATCATCAGTATTCATATTGACCCTAGCACAAGCTCATACAAGACTTTAGGGTCCGTACAAGAAAAATAAACATGTACCGTATCGTGGGGCTTGCCCCCTCACCCCCAACATATTTAGCGTCTTTGGCAAACAAATAGTGTATTAAACCCATAAGGGGGTGCTGTCGCTCTAATCTAGTAAACATGTGTTCCACTTTATATGTACCACATATACAACAAAAAGAAAATTACACATGATCAAGACTACACTCTCGATCTCTCGTCTCTCGAAGATTTTAAAGCATTTGAGTGTTGATTTTTGCTTGAGGGTTACGAGATTCTAACCTTGCTTTTCATTAACTTATGTGGATTTCAACCGAATAAGGTAGGGCTAGGCCTTGGAATCCGTTGTCCATGTGCTAGGACTTCAAGACTCTACTCACTTCTCAATAATGTCATGGATCACAACCGAACGGTGTGGTGTTAGGACAACCCCAGATAGAAGCTCCCTACCCCGTCCCAGTCCCCAGGGCATTGAGATTTTACCATGATTTTTCACTAATATCTAGGATCGATGTTCCTTGTTCATTGTCCCCATCTCATTTATTCGTTTCTATTATTTTATTTTTAGTAGACGCCAAGACTCTTTTATAAGTTTTCATTAATTTTTCCTATGAGCTTTTATTGTAATGCACGCATCTCCAAATAACCCGAAAGACACTATCTAATTTTGTTTGATATTACGTAAAACGACATGATTTTATAATTTGTTTATTAGAGTGATTTGCTTAGCATTGAACAACATTAGAAAAAAGAACATAAAATCTTGTATAGAAAAAGAGACAGAATGAAAGAAATTCCACCTCCATAAAATTATTCCTCATTATTAATGTTGAAAACGGAGATGATATTTGATAATTTCAATACCAATTTGTTGAAAAAATAAGAGATTATAAGCACAATATGGAATAAAGATCACGAGAACAAAAATAATTTGTAGAGAATATAAATTTTATTATAATATGAAGAAAGAATACAAAAGTTTTTGTGTTTATGATTTGTCTAACTTCTGACGGGATAAACGAACCTCGAATAAGGTTAAACCAACCTATAATAAGGTTAACAACCCATAATGGGGTAAAACCAACGCAACTAAATTGTAGAGAAGATCCAAATATATATAAGGATCAAGTAGAGGACGTCCAAACCCTAGCCTTGATGTAGTAGAAGGAAAATGATGCTAAAAACACGTGTAAAACGCGAAACGGATCGAACCTTGAAAAGCAGGGACGCTCGAGCGCCAGGCGAGAAGCTAGGTCACAGTTCACGCCGCTTAAGCGATGGTCAAGCAGCAAGGGCAACACTGCAATGTTGCTTGTAAGGCTTCAGTGCACTGAGTTTCAAGAATATGTTTGTTCCTTTGCTCAAATTAATGCCCAAATCCAAATCTTGACCTCTTCAAGTACAACACAAATTTCAAATTTCAAAGGGCTTTCAAATAAAATTTCAACTAGAATTTGTCAAGTAAACTTGAATAGAATTCCACAGTAGCATTTGAAATAAAATTTCTCTCAATGTGCACTTTAATTAAAATTCTCAATTATTTTCAACAAAAAATTGGGGTTACACTCCAATTGTAACAATTATTTTAAGGCAAGTAGCTCGACCTACACTTACTAAAAATCAGCATTGTGTGCCAAGCATGTGCTAGCATACTTTCTCCCTTGCAATGAAAATATATTGTTTACTAATTGTGTTGTACTATAATGAGTAATATATTATTGTACTTTACTTTTTAAAAGACGGGAATAGTCCACGAAAAATTAAACTAAATTTGTTCACTAGACAAAATTTAGGCCCTGTTTGACATCCATTTTTATTCTCATTTTTTTTTCTTTCTTCATTTCAACCACACATTCTCAAAGTAAAATAATGTTACACACAAATTAAAAACTTTTCATTACTTTTCAATCACACATTCTTCCATCAATCACTATTTCAGAATTCATTTTTTCCTTAAAATGGGTGTCAAACACAAGCTTATTAACACGAACAAATAAAGTTCCAAAAAATTGAATACATGAACTATAGAGGTACAAGGACACAATATATACATTACCTCTATTTAGAAGTTAAGACATGGAAATGACTTTACTAGATGTTGAGATTATCCAACATCGGTTGTGGAAGAGGTTGGTGGTCAATTTATAAGTGTGAAGGAAAGTCTCACCTCTTGAACTAGTTTTTGAGATTGAGAAGGCACAAGACCGCCCAACACTGGTATCAGGGCACAGGTTATCAACAAGTCTCCACCCAATAGTCCGCGAAAGATACGTGTTTGCTCTCAATCAGGACCCGATGTGTGAGGAGGAGATTGTTGAGGTTATCCAACATCGATTGCGAAGTGGACTGGTGATCAATTTATAGGTTTGAGGGAAAGTCTCACTTCTGAACTAGCTTTTGGGGTTGAGAAAGTCTAAAACCACCCAACACTAGATTCTCGAGATAAAAAAGCTCTTGAAAATAGGTTAAAAACAATCTTTTGCCAAGAAGTCGAATAAATAATATCCATTAAAATATTTAGTAAATAATTTATTTTTATTAAGTCAAGTCAAAATAAGGTTGAACTTGCACGTGTGGAAAGTTGAACAAAAATAGATTAGTCAAACATTATTCAAATGTTTTCGTATATATATATATATATAACAATCAATCTCATATATTTAGAAATATAGTTATTTATTTGATTTAGACATACATATTAAAAGATTTATATGTGACAAAAATAGACCCTGATGGAAAGTAACGTCTGGATATTGAACCGTGGAAAGTGACGGGTCCCATATGATGACTGTGGGCACCCACCGCTTTCAACTCTCCGTGTCCTAGTCAATATTCCGTT